GAAGCAAAATATGTACAACTATTTTAGTATTTTCCATCCTGAAAAATATGCTATCAATCGGAATTGGCAAAAAAGATATCAATGATAAAAAGCGTAGCATCAGTCTGTTTATTAAACGACGACATTGACGATAATAATCAGCTAATTAAATGATTTAAATTATTTGTGGTTGCTTTTCTCAAAAAGCTTTCAGTTTTTTCCTTATGCCTCAGAACTTTTGCGTTAAGCTATTTTAAGAAAATTAAATTAGGGACCGTCCACCATCCACCGCCTGAGGGGGAGGGGGAGGAGGATTTTTGTTGGGTCCCGATAAAATTAAAATTAACCTGATACCCCTCAAAGGCTCTTAATATTCCTTGTTTTTTTTTTCTTGTGCGTCATCTTAACTACAGCGTTGAACTGTTAAAAGACGATTGGTTCTTTCGTCAGCTGTGCGGTTACCGAGATGTGACTTAGCCGGCAGAGCAAGCGTAATTTCGGCGAGCGAGTGCTCAGTAATTTCCGCTTAACGAAATTATGGCCGCCGTTTTAATGGCAGCTGAAGGCTGGGGAGAGAAAAAATTTGTACCAAGGGGGTGGTCGTCGATCAAAAATGAGGAGAGAGGTAGGGGTGGGGAAGTGGAGATTAGCCCCTACCCCCACCGTCCACTCTAACTCCAAATCAAAGCTTAGCTCGCACTAATTAGACGCCTGCACAGGCAAGATGTGACTGTGGCACGCAGTAAATTTGAACAGCACTCGAGTAGCTTCAGATGCTCTCACTTACGCCTTGAGTAACTTTGGCGCATCTTTCATGCTTTCAAAACTCAAGCTAAGTTGTTTTCGGCCACGCCTCGAGCAATCTTTCATCTTTCTTTAAATCTTCTGGTGTGCTTCATATCTCAATGAACAAAAGTTTACTGGTGAAACGGCTGTGAATTGGTGATTTTTATAGTGTTAGATCAACAGTATCCACCATGAGAGACATAAGTTTCTTCCCCTCGCTTAGAAATTCACTCTTGTTTTTCTTGAAGCCGTCTTCAAAACTAATTCATCAAGCAATCTTTTATCTTTCTTTAAATCTCACCATGTGCTTCATATATCAATAAACGCAAACTGACGCATGAATCAATCGTTAACAATTGAGATCCATTGTGCAAGATTGACAGCATACTCAGAAGAGATCATAAAGAGACTCATGAATACATTCATATATAGTAACTGTAGTTAATCTGTGTACATTTTTCTTATACTTTTCTTATACTTTTATTAGATTTTACTATTGTAACGATTAATCCAATGGCTGCGATTTTAATCAGAATAAACTATCTACTTCATCTACTTCGGATCTTTATTTTCCGTCCCTGGTTTGGCAATCCTCTCTTGTTGCTTTAGATACC